TTCTGTGGGAGAAACAGAATGTGGCTGGGGTGGAATGGGCAAAGGCAAGGTGGTATGAGGTGTGTGTCACAAGGGAGGTAAGTGCCTCATCTCACCCTTGGAAGCCATAGTAGAGAACTTGGGTTCTTTGCGTGATGGGAAGACATTAGAGAGTTTCTAACTAGTTTTTAGACCAAGTTGATAGTGGAGATGGGAATGATATTCACAGATTTGGGATATATTTATCCCAATTTGAATTGATAAGACAATAATGGGATGGATACCAGGAGTGAAAGCAATATGGTAGTGAGGGTAATTCCCAGATTTGGGGGTCAAGTGGTACTGCCACTTCCTGGGGCGGGGAAGAGGGATGATAAGCAGTGGGCAGGGGGTGGAGGGGGGGGCAGAGTTCTGTTTTGACCACGTTAAGTTGAGATGCCCATTTGATATCAAAGGGGAGTTGTCAAGTTAGACAATTCGATATGTAAGTTTTGGGATTTCTGAAGAGGCTTATCTAGGTTAAGGAGTTATTGGCATATGGCTGGTGTTCAAACCATGATCTTGATGAGACTGTCCGAGGAGAGAAGTAGACCCACGATGCAGCTCTAGGTGTCCAGCACTTAGAACGTGAACAGAGGAGGTTAGGCTGGCCAGGGAGACAGAGGAGCAGCAGCTGGTGGTGGTGCCAAAACACCGAGTGTTTAACGGAGAAATGGAGAGCCAGAGTGGGACTGATGGACAGACGGACTTCAGCCTGCAGCCGCTTGGGGACGAGGGTGAAAGGAGTAAACCGGAGGTGGAGGATGCATGCTTGAGATGGGAGGAGGTGGGGTGGACTCTGCAGGTGGGCTGCGATGGATGTGCCTGCACAGGATGAAGGCAGCGTGTGCTAACGTGGAGCTGGCGTGGCCGTGGCATTGAGAAGCGCAAGTATTCAGGTCACGGTGTGGAGTGGTTCGTCACCCGGATATTGAAACCATGCAGGTGGTGGTACAGGATGGAGAGAAACAGATGGGTGAGGTTTCCTCCAAAATGAGACACTGAGTAGAGAGACCCGGGATTTACAGGAGATGATCATACCAGTGGAAGTTGTACCCAAACTGGGAAGTCTGCAGGCTCAGGGGAAGTTTTGGAAGAGCAATTCCAGACCTGGTGACAGGGTGGGAGGGGCGCGGAGCAGGAAGGGACTCAATGTGCTGGGAAGACACGAAACCACGAACTTGTCTTTCCACTTACATTTCATGTAAGTGGAATGTATTGAGGACTTGGTGGGGGCAGTGCACCGCGCTTATTCCCCTGGGGCAGGAAAGGAGCCACAGGGCAGGCATGTGGAAAGGTAAGTAGTCCCCTGGTCTGTGAGCTTTCCAAACCTGCTAAGCTTGTCAAGAGCAACTCTTTCAGGTCTCCCAGAATTTTTATAGGGTGGATCTTGATACATATTGACTCCTCAATCAAATGAATGAAGTCTACCTATTCATTTAAAAACAATGTTTCATTGTTTAGTATTGTCCACTAGTTACAATGTGGTACCACCACACACAGCAACTTCCTGTGTGTTCAGATAACGTTTCATGATATGGGACATGCTCAGGAAGTTAAAGTAAAAAAAACACTTAAATACTATATATACAATAAGATCCCACTTTGAGGTGTGTGTGTGTGTGTGTGTGTGTGTGTGTGTGTGTGTGTGTGTTTAAGAGAGAAAGAGAAGGACAAAGAGAAAAAGGAAGAGTCGGTTGTCAAATTATTATTGGTGGTTATCTCTGGGTCATGAGGTTAGAAGGATGTTTGTTTTCTTCATTTTCCAAGCTTCCTAAAATGCATATGTATTATATAAACAATGTATCATCAGCCCATGCTGTGTAAAATTGTTTTTCTCTAGAACTTCATATTTCTTTATTTTTAATTTTATATAACACATGTAGTAAACATTAAAATCCTAGTAGGCTTTCTCCCATCACAGAGTAACTTCCTAGCCCTTCTTCCTTATTTATTTATTTATTTATTTATTTTGCCACCATTTATTCCTGTGAATTCCCCTCTGACCTTCCTTTCTTGCCTGTGCTGCTGAAGGAGATGGCTCACGTTTCCATTCGCTGATGAATGAGACCTTGCACGCCACCACAGACAGACACGTTTATCTCTGTTTTCTGTATCACTGTACACAATGTTGAGTTTTGTTGATTTGTCTCTTTGTCTTTTATAGCCTATGGCTGCCATTTTCCATTCCAGTCTCCTTTCAATCTTACTTTATTTTTTATTATTGATTTTATTTTTCTTTTCCTGTGAAATGTTTATTCTAAAACACATCTGCAAGTCATTTATAGCTCTGGCTGGGTACAGTTAAGCATTCCATCGGATGTGAGTGTTTAAGAATATATTCCTTCGGATCTGTAGGTTTCTCTTGGTTGTGTCTTTGAAAGCAGGTGCAACACTTGGGTGCCAAAATGTCATCCAAAAATATCGTGTACTCAGGTCATAACTAGAGCACAGCACCTTTCGCTGAAGGTTGACTCAAAGGATGTTTTGAGGGCAAGTATGATTACTGTCTTCTAAGGTGATCCAGAAAGTAGCAATGAATGTCAAACATGCCTAATCTTCCTTTTACAACCACACCGGAGATAACGTTTGATAAACTGTGCAGCCTGTTCACGTTCTCAAGGTTATGAACTCCACATGTGAATAAGGCACAATCTCCATCGTTTCTGCCATTGTTTTCTTGAGTTCCATTCCAGAGTTTGATGGAGAGACCAAGAGCTTACTGTATCTCTGTTGACTTCTAATTTTGTAGACTTGATTACTCACTTCTGCTTTTCCTGCTTTACGACAGAATAATTGTGGCTATTTTCCTGGCCCCTCCAAGTGGCCTGCCCCATACTCCTGCTAGATCCAGGATGGCTTTGTTGAGTGCATGAGCAGAACGCTGTGGATTTTTTCCTACATCCATGAGGACTCAGCACATTCTCTATGTCGCTTTCTATATTCTTTCTTCTGATGTTGAGGTTCCGACTGGGATTTCATCGTGGATTCACGTCCTCAGTAGTAAGATAAGACAAGGCAGGATGTAATCCTTGGCTCTGCTGTGTGGGCCGTGTCTTTGGGGAGGATTAGTGCTAGTGATGATCCAAAACAGTTGCGAATGCTGACATCCTCATTTGGTAGTGATCTGGTAGGGATTCCTTTATATATGTATGTTTTCAGTTTTCATATACATGGAGGAGGATGATTTAACTGAAGAAACTCTAATGAATGAAAAACTACTCTGGGTTGCTTAAGCATACAAGAGCTGATGGAAGGAGGGATCATTGGGAGGAAAGACTTTGTTGGATGACGGGAAGAACCAGTCTGGGATTAAATGATTGCTGTAGATAATCCTCAAAATGAGTTAATCCATGCGAATTAATCTAACGTGTATAATCAGCTTTGAGGGCAGCTCTGTTGTCCCTGGTCTTTAAAAAGGAGAGTGGAGAAGCCAATATCCAGTCAAGTCACAAAATGTAATTAAAAAGGAAAATGGTTTCTCTAGGAGAAACAAGAAGGGCTTGAGTTTGGTTGTATTTCCTCCCGCCTTCCCTCCCTTTTCACGTGGCTGGATCTTCTAAGTGCCCATGGCGCTCTGCTCCAGCCCTTACCTGTTCCAGCATTTCCTCCAGGGAAAACCTTACTGGGGGTGTTTTCACATCTCCGAATACACAGTCATTGGTGTGTCAGCAACCTGAGCAACCAGCCTACGTCTTGTGTGTATCTTGGTGTTGTATGTATAATCGCTCCTCCAGGAATGTAAAGGAATGTTTTCCACTTAATCATAAGTAACAAGTGACTTTATAACTTTAACAATATGACGTGTTATTATGTGACACATCAGATAATCGTGCTCTGGGAAACAAGTTTCCATTGGAGAAATAGAGGAGGTTCTAAGATAAAAGATGAAACTGTATTTTCTAGACTGCAGGGGGAATCCTGTAATCGATTACCAGGGAAGGAGGGGAACTCTCCATCCCTGGAGATCCTTAAAAATTGAGCAGAGGAAATATCTGTGAGAAGGACTGACACCTTAAACCTCTTTTGGGGCATGCAGATAGAATGACAACCTATTCTGTGACTCTTTGATGGCTTGGCCTGGAGTAGCGAAGACTGGGGGGAAACAGGAAAACTTCTCTGGGTACGGAAAAGAGCCACTGTTGCTTTCCATGGGAAGACAAGTCACAGGAGCTTAACCTAAAGCCTTAGTGATTTAGATTACATTTCACGGGTAAGAATTTTTGAGACCTAGGTTGTGAAAATCCTGTGAACATTTGCAAACTACAAGATTGATTTGTGTGAGACCCAGAGTGAGCTCCGTGATTCTGTTGCAAGAAGAAATATGTATATTTTTCAATGTTGTTCCAAATAGAATTATTCCAACACCCTATATTCAGTTCATGGCATTCTCTTGGGAAAGGAGAACCTCTAAAGCTAGTATTTTCAGGCACCAAGCATCATCCCTGCTTTGGGGATAACAGTGGGGAGCAGGTAACAGGTGTGAGGTCCCTTCTGTCTGGATACCTGTACAGGGCTGTGTTGCTGGGTCATCAGCCCCGGGGTGAGGATGAGTCTGGGACAGAGCCCTCTGCTGGGTCAGCCTTGTCCTCCCCTCCGGGCTTCTTCCCTGTGAAAATGCAGACGTGTGTGTGTAGCGTGGCTGGGAGAGGGCTGCAAAAGCCCCGTCAGTACAAAGGGAGGCAAAATACCTATTAAAAAGCATTATCGGGGCACCTGGGTGGCTCAGTGGGTGGCTCAGGTCATAATCCCAGGGTCCTGGGATCGAGCCCCACATCGGGCTCCCTGCTCAGTAGGGAGCCTGCTTCCCACTGCCCCAACCCCTGCCTGCCTCTCTCCTTACTTGTGATCTCTGTCAAATAAATTTAAAAATCTTTAAAAAGCATTATCTTCCTTAGTATTTGGTTGCAGTTTCAACATTCAGCCACATGATGTCACAGTTGGATTTTGATTTTTGCTGTACATTTGTCTCCCAATGATAGGTGAAGGCGTTTTCCAGGCGGGAGCAGAGAGGTCTGAGACACGGGGGGCAGCAGAAGTCCAGGAAGATGAAGACACGCAAGTGGAGATCCCGGTTGACCAGGTAGTCCCCATGTACAAACCAAATGGCCACTCTTTTCTTTCAAGTTCTGGGTTATCTGCTCCCGGCTGTTCCTAAGCGTGCGCTTAGACAGTCTCAGGAGCTGGGTGTCCAATGACCCACGACACACCTTTAGGTCTTTCTAGTATTCCTTTAGAGAAGAGCCATTTGGGCTGTCTTTAAATTTTTATTTTATAGTCATGGGGAATGAGGTGACTTTAATAAATAGCATTGAAGGAGGTAGATTGCGGTAAGCCCTGAGATGCAAAGGGGGAGAAGGTTTGATACAGAAAAAGCATATTGGCTGGGAGTTTTTATCTAGAAAAAAAGTCCTCCATTCAGAAAAGCTTTTTTCTTTTCTTTTCTTTTCTTTTTTTTAAACGCTGTGATATTCTCTCCTTTAGGTCCTTGAAATTGTGGTTGGAATTTATTTTTCATAAAAGAATTGCGTATACAAATACAACGTGCATGTTTGCTGTGTGTGTATTGATTTTCTTTTTAGGCCTACGGAACATAGTACTTGGAGGACAGAGAGAATGAGAGTGGGTGAGTGTGTGTGTGTGTGTGTGTGTGTGTGTGTGTGTGTGTGTGCGTGCGCGTGCATGTGCTTGTAGAAGGGTTGAAGGAGTGTTCGTGTTGTTTAAATGATGCAAGAAATAAGTCAGTTAGGCTTTTTAATACAATTCAGCTGGATTTCTTACATTTCTAGATGGAGGATTGGAATTGAGGTGGGGAGGGGGGACATTGTAACCCCAGGCTCAAGGGAATGAGAATTCACTAGGAATTGCCACTTGTCCTCTGACGATTATGTGATATTCCCTTTACAGAAAGCGAATTTCAATCCTACAGTTTCCATAGACGAACTTCTCAGTCATATTTGTTTTCACGGAGGGGCAGCGGGGCCGCTGCTTGATGATTCCACAGGCGTTTCCCACAAGCATCGCCTTCCTGATGAAAAGCCTCATGTGTTAAAAATCACACAGATTTCAAAAATCCAATTTATTACCCAGGATTAGCTATAACTAATAATTTTTCATAAACTCCAGTTATAGGTTTTCTTTTTTTTCCCATGGAGGGAAAATGGAATTTTAAGTCTTCTGTGATGCTGTAATTAAATGTTATAGTGGAAGACAAAGGAGAGTAATCGTCTGTATGTACAGCTGCCCCAAAACAAAATGAATTTATTCCAGAGCCAGAATGCCACAGATCAAGGGAGAATCAGACTCTGATAACCAACAGAGAAGTCTCTTTGTTAATCACTTCACAGGTTTCAGAATCTGTGGTAGGTGTTTCTTATGCTACCGGAACAGCCCGGGGTAGGTGTCTGGGAGCTCCATTGCTCACGTGACCGGAAAGGGGTCACTTACCAGAATGCGCGTCTGTGGAGACACGGAGTCAGCGGACCCGTGAAAGCTGGGCAAGGTCACCACACTGATGTCAGTTTGAAGGAAATAGAACCCAATAACCAAAGGTCAGAATTGCTTTCTTCTTTGACCCCATAAGTAATAGAACTGGAATTAGCTGGTGGCCATGGTTGGCGAGAGGTACTTATGGGGTCCGGTCTCAGGGTCGTTCTCTCTGTGGCCTGCTGACCTTCTGCTCTGTATCCTCAGCAGCTGTGTTACGGGTCTTGTGAAGCACCCAGTGAGGGTGTGGAGAAGTTAGTGGAAAGCTCCACGATCGTTGAGAACAACTCTGCGGATGTCCTCCCACTGTGTTCTCCAGGAAGTGGTGGGTGCTGTTTATTGAGTACCTACCAAGTGCCAGGCACCCCGCACTGGGCACTTTCATCTCGTATAATTGTGGTGACCGCCCTGAAACACAAGTCTTACCCTGCCTACTTCATATGGAGAAAGGAAGTGAGCTTGTGTAGGTGAACTTGCTTGTCCAAGGTTGTACCATTCTATAGAGGAGTTTGTGTTTGAAAGTAGGTCTGTCCGGTTTCGAAGTATGTGGGTGATCTGGGGAAAGAGTATTAAAATGCAAACACACAGACACACACAGGAAAAAAAAAAACCCAAACCCCAAAAAGCCAATTACTAGCTTAAGGAAGGAAAAAAAAATTCCTGCATAGGAAAGGAAATGTAGTCATCACATGCACCTTGGCTCAGCTGTAAATTACACTGACGTACACTCCCTCTTGGGCCAACACAGTTCATTTCTTTGGACGGATTTCCTATCATCTAAATGGTTCATGTTATAACTTTAGTCGAAGGGCTGTGGACAAGGGTGTGTGTGTGTGTCTGTGTGTGTGTAAATACCATGTGTAATCGGCCAAGTAGTGTATCGATGCCTGAAAAGCAGATCAAGTTTTAGAAGTAAATATTGCCAGGAGCCAATTCTCCGTGGATCTCTTGTGTTTCTGCATATCTTATGAGCAGAGGGACAGATCACCTTTGTTCTGGATTATCTTATCTCTCTCCTTTTTTTTTTTTTTTTTTGGACTGTCTTTTTAACGATGTTTGAACAAGCTTGGAAGACAGACACAGTGACTTCCTCTGAAACAATCACTCTAAGCTTGAGGCAGTCTTACCTCTGAGGGAGGTTTGGCAATTTCTGGGGACGTTTTTTTGATTGTTAGACCTGTGGGAGTACTCCTGGCATCTAGTGGGAAGGGCCAGGGCTTTGTCTTGTAACGCACACAACAGCTCTCCCAACAAAAAATTACCCTTGGTGTAGAGCAATGGCCAACTTTGTTTATTGCCCAGTATCGTAAGGCCAATGTCCTCCGGCACTGCAGGTCAGGCAGGGTTAGTATCCACTGTAAAAGATACGGCACTGTCGAACTCTATGCTCAATCTGGTCAAAACAGTGCGCCTGGGTGGTGTAGTTAGGCGTCCAGCTCTTGGTTTCTGCTCCAGTCACACCTCAGGGTCATGGGTTTGAGTCCTGCATCGGGCTTGTGGTGTCTGCTTAAGACTCTCTCCCTCTCCCTCTACTCTTCCCACCCTAGCACACATGCATTCTCTCCCCCTAAAATAAATGAATAAATACAAAAAAGAAACTAGTCAAAACTGTAAATGTTACATGTATTTTAGCACAATAAAAGTATTCGGAAAAAGATTGGGTTCTTTCCCTGGATTGTGAGCCACTATTTGTATCACCTGGGTCCCCCTTCCCATTGGTCTGTGGGAACAGGATCCCGGGGAGTGAGTGCTTGTGGTGATACTCTGGCTATTGCTGTTGCTGTGAGGAATAGAATTCTTTGTCTCTGACCTGGGAGTCTCGTGTCTTCTGCCGCATCTCTGACATCATGGCAGGCTAAAGAGGATGCTTGTAAGTAGGGTAAAATTCCAGACCTTCCAGAGTCCTTCCATCTCCCTGCATGAGTGTTGGTGTGTTTAAGTGTGAGCAAATGTGGACTCACACCAGCCAAGAACATGGCCAAACTCTGTCCCAACGTTCAGACTCTTGTCATTTTTTAGACGACCCTGGATCTAACTACTTCTAAACCCATGGGTAACTGAAGAATGGCATGTTTTAAAAAATGTATTTGGGGAGGCCAGAATGAATATCTTTTCTCAGGAGAGAGTTTAGGTCGAACAAGAATAAAGTATTCTTTTAGAAATCAGGTTTTTTTGTGTGCACACTCCAAATCAATCTGGTTCCTCCTAAGCAGAGGAGCAAGTGCCTGATTAGCCAAGACCTGTGTGGTCACACTCTCGCACTGGTGACTTGTGTCACTTCTAAATGGATGCTTTTCCAAGTGAAGGTGGCAAGCAGTGAGCTTGCTCTTAACTAAGGATTAGGCAGGAGAACCCACCATGTCAGAAGCCCAAGCAAACAAATACCTAGAAAATAGGCAAATAAGAAGATATATTTTGGATTTTGTTCCATTTTACAGAAGAGGGCAGATGGTGAGGATGGTAACTTCCGAGCGGTTTCAGATTATTTTATAGCTCTCCCCATCCATTTGTAGATGATTTTGAATAGTAAAATAATGAGAATTACAAGATGTTTTTATGCTAAGTAGTTTTCATTAAATAGCGTTTAACCTGTATCATGAACACTGGAGAAGTGAAAGCTTTTTTTTTGTAATTGGAAGTTTTGATGCATACTCTTCTTTGTTTATTTAAAACTTAATTAGCCATTAAGTCACATATATAATATATAATATTGTTTAAAATTTAACAAAGATTACAACAAAAGTAGCAACCATGTTCCTCACCTCTCCCTGCCTGCATTCCTCTTCCACAGAGATAACCCATTTGAACCCCTTTCAGCTTTTCCTCACAGAACACACCATTGTATTTCTAAACCATACCTCCTGCCCTCCCTTCCATTTTAATACCTCTGAAATCTTTGGGTCTTGCAAGTGATTGCATGTCATAGTTTAGTTGGCATTTTTTTTTTTTTTAATTCTAAGAGGTACATAAACTAATGGAGATCCTTTTAAATAGGTGACATCCCAAATTCGGTAAAGTAAGTTTCTTGATTTTAGTTTTCAGATGTAGATACAGTTAACTTTATCTCTAATGACTGTGGAAGATGACTGTTTAGATCTCTTACCAACTCTTCTCCCCCAACCCCCCAATAAGGCCACATGCACACAAACACACAAATGCACGACCCTCTCCTTCTTTCTTTCCACCCTCATAATGACGATTTTGGCTGAGTCAGTGTTTAATCTGTACGTTATCTTTGCTATGTCAGCCTTATTGAGTTGAGCCACAGGGTGGACTCTGGTTACGTTTCCTTTCCTGCGTAACACTCTTTCCCTTCTTCCTATTTTAGTAATTGCCTTTTTTTTTTTTTAATTCATTTGCTTACTTTTCTGTGTAGCTGTTACCAAACCATCTCTAAACTCTGCCAGGTGGTGGGCTTCCCCTTGGTGTATGCCAGTGTGTGCAGTGACGATGACATTTCACCACCATCTTTTTTTCTCAAACATGTCAGTCCTCGGGTTCAGGCTGGTTCCGTGTTCTCTGGATCTGCTTTTTAGAGTTATCCTGGGATTTTTCTTGACCATTATCTTGGGAATCTCCTTCACTTCCTCAGGGGAT